TTACTGATTAATTAATATTAATACTCGGGCTTTAGTGACCAACTACTCTTTCTATTAGGAAAGTTAGATTAATAACAACCTCACCTAAACCAAGAATTAATCGTCCAAATACTTGCCTTAAAAAAGTAATTAATCTTAATCATGTATAATTAATCCAAAGATAGCTTATTTATGTTGATTATGCGTGCCGGTTAGTCTTTAATTTTATGGATATAGGTAATTAAAATTTGTTTTGTTTAAAATATGATAAGTATAGCTGTATAAACTATTATATAATTTTAATTAACATTCTAATTCTAATTTATTTAAAGATAAATTATTATACTTATTTTTTTAATAAATTTTAATTGATATTTAATTATTTATTGGGATAGTTTTGGCTTTAAAAATTATTATTTAAATTATATTTTAATTTATTATCTTTTTTATTTCATCATGAAAGAGTGTGCGAATGTTCGAGCCATTCATAATCTATCTTTTAGAATAAGATCTCGTTTACAATGAGTTTGAAATTAATGGTTCTTCTAGCTGCTTGAAGGAAAAATCTTTAAATGATATAAAAAAGGGAAATGATAAATTTGTTAAAAGTTTCAGTATATATATATTAGTAGCTATCTAGAATTAAGCCAATAAAAAGCATGATCTACTTAAAAAATTAAATTATTGTTTAACTTATATGATATCAATTTAATTTTGTTTTGTTTTTTTGTTTTTAAGAACAAAAAATTCCATTAAGATAGAAAGACACAGGACAAGACCAAAAGAATGGCCACAGCAATAGAATTACAAAATGTTAAAATAAAGAAAAGTAGGAGCAAGGCAAATTGAGAATAGGAAAGACAAAATCAGAATAATAAAATAGCACAACCCAAACCATCCAAAAGAAGAAAATCATTTCTTCTTGGAATTCCGTTTACGTTGCCTAACAAAATTATCGAGCGAGCCCGTATCCAGGGTGTTATCAATAAAGTCCTTCCCACTATCAATAGCCATGTCATCATGTAGCCAATCACATTGCCATCTAACATCTCTAGCTAGCAACATGGACTAACATATTAGCATTAGAAATGATAGAGATAGGCACATCCACTAGAGGCATCAAACTACCTTCATCCCCAACAGCAACCAAGGTTTCCTCACCACAATCAACAGATAATTCCGCATCATCACCAATAATCGGACTATCACCGGCAGAAGGCACACCCACAGTAGAACCATTAATAGCATGGATAGGGGAATCCAGCACTGCAGTCGGCTCCACCAAAATAACAGGAGAGCCACTCGAACAAATCCCGACAACAGAAGCAGAGACAATCGGAGACTGAAATTGGCAAGACGGAATTAACTCAACTCCTACATCACCAATAACGGGCAAATCAACGGGAGACACAACCACAGAGTTGTCCTGACACAGAGGAGGTAAAACAATAGGAGATGGATTAGCAAGAGTAGGATTAGGAAGGATAAGACCCGTATCCCCTAAATCATTAAAATCCGCATTACCAACATGAATGTCATTAACATCAGAAACCCGAAAATCCGGTTTAGACAAAGGAGCAACAGGCAAGCTAGCATCAAGAGTAGGTCGGCAGTCACCAAAAGAATGACCAAGCCGCTTACACTTGGGACAAAAGAGAGAAAATCCTCCATAGTAACTTGCTGAAAATACCATAATTTCTCAGGTCCTATCCAAATCTTGTCCGTAAATTTCTTCATAATATCAATTTCCACCAGCACACGGGCAACAGATGGGAGAGACCCCAACGCGGTGGCATTATCCACCTTTAGCGGGTTACCAAAGAGAAGCCCCAATCCATGCAATATACGATGAGAGAAAAAATGGGGTCGCAAATTAGGGAATGAGATCCAGATTAGGACAATGGGAGACTCATCCCCAATGTCACCGGATGGAGACAATTTAGACAACTTCATGAAGCAATTGAAAACTAGATAAGACCTATGACAAAACACCCTACTATAGTCTTGATCATTCTCCATCTTAATGAGAACATGAGAAGAATCCAACACTCACCCGAGGGCCAGCAAGATACTTGTGGAGATACAGGGCACTCTTGTCGTCGGCTTCGTGGCATCCAATAACCTGGACAACAAGCTCTTCACAAAGGTTCTTAATGAGGGAGATGTCTTTGTCTTCCCGCAAGGTCTCATCCACTTTCAGCTCAACATTGGAAATAAAAATGCAGTGTCTATTTCCGGGCTCAGCAGCCAGAATCCGGGGGTGATTACTATTGCCAATGCAGAGTAAACATGACTCACTTCAAGCAGAACTAAAAAAATGGATTCCTGCACATATATCAATCGGAAAAATCAGCTGCATGAATCAACCAAGAACAAATAATTTATGTGGCACAGAAATTATTCTGTGCAGAGACTAGATGCAAAACATTATCCGGAGACTAATCAGAATGTGTTATTGCACATATATCATTCGGAAATAACTTTTAATAGATATTATATTGATCACAAAATGATCAATCGATTAGGAACCGGCCTTGCATTGCACATTAACACACTTTTTACTTTTAATATATACTTTATTGTATATGAAGAATAATATAAGTTTAATTAAATGTCTATTTATTATGTATAAATTATATGTAATATTGAATGCAATATTTATAAAGACTTAAATATCCAGCAGGTGCATTTTACTAGTTTACTAAATAGACTTAATAAGATTAAACTCCAATATTCATACACCATTTTTTTAAATGCTATTTTCTATACAAATGCTTTTAAACAAATTTATACATCAACAACAACCATATTAAACAAAGCCAAAGAGTCACAAAGAGAATCCAATATATAGTAGAATAATAGTTGTTCAATTTCTAGCATAATCTCATCCATGCATCACCCGCGATCGACACACCGGGCAAGTTCGATGTTGTTGTAACCATGTATCCACACATCTGGCATGAAATACATGCCCACAATCGGGTAGAAGCCTCACTGGATTATCCTCCCCCTCCTCCTCCTTATCATAGTCAGCAAGGCAAATTGAGCAGCAGTCACTGGAGGCTGCCCGTGGATCCTGACGCATGGCTTCTGCATAATTAGACCAGGTCCTGAGTGTGAGCTCAAGCATAGGGGGAGCGGTAGAATGACAGAAAAACAAGTATAAGTTGACGCCGATGAAAATGATAAGGAAGAGGACGACAGTTGCCATGGCTGTGATATAGCTTAGATCGATGTAGGTCATTTCTTTTAATGCCTTGATATACTGCTGAAAAAATATATATATATAACGAATGATAATATGATTAATAAAAATAAATTTGATTCTCCAAGAAACTAAAAAGAATTTTAACAAGCTGACAAATATAAAGCAACAAAGATAAAAGAAAATTAAAAACTGTAGAAAATTAAACAAGGACAATTTCAATAAAATTATCCTTTTTTAATTTATTTATAGTTTATGATGATCAATGTTGCTTGAATGATTATCTTTTTATTTAAGACTTATTTTCATATCAATATTTTAGAATTGATTTCCAGTATTTAAGATTTTGCAATATTTATGAATTGCATTTGGTTTCATATCCTCCAAATTGATAGTATAGAATCAGTTGGGTGGTGTGGCTCCTAATCCATATGGTTGTTGTAATGGTTATGTTCCAATTTTCTTATTTCATTTCAACTAGATTTATTATTCATTGCATATTATATAACAATTTTTAGTTCATTTTTTTGATGAATTTTGTAATCTGAAAGTTCTGTTTTTAAAATAAATTAAATAATTTTTTTAATAAAATTCCAAAGCAGTTTATAAACAATGGCTAAATTGAGAGAATTGAGTTGAGATGGGATAGCTATATCTAGGTTTAGTCAGACTTACTTTGGTCTAAAAATGTCGATGATGATATTTTTTAAGGTGGCCGGGTAAGATGTGATAACTCTTAATTTTTTTCTTAAAGAGCTATTTTTACTTATAACAGTAAAAAAATTCTTTAGGAGTTATTATAAGTTTAAATAATAGACAGTCTTCACCAGAGCATAGATATTATTATATTTTAGTTTCACTAATTTTTTCATAATTTTTGAACACTGGTATATTTCCTTAAGAAATTAGTATTTGTCAGTATAAATGGGAATATTGGATTGTTTGGTGTATGTTATGTAAACCGATTTTACCAGAGAGTTTTGGACATACTTAGCTAATTTATGAATATTTTTGTAAAATTTTTGGATTCCCAGATTTGAAGATATAAAAAATTTAGATTGATTTTATTTTTAAAATTAAATAATTAGGATACTTATTTAATCTTTTATTATAATATCCTAATCCGCTATTATATAATTTTATAAAAGCATTGCATGATAACACATAAGGGGAAAAAGAGAACAAGACTGGAGAGATATAGAGAAAGAAAAATTTTGGTTTAGGAGGTCTTAAAGCTATCTAAGCCCGTCGGTACAGTTTGGAAAATTTAAATTTTTTCGCCTCAAGGTAGGTCACACTATATCTATCTTAATTTTTAAAAATAAGTAATTTTTATAGAATTTTTTTATTAAAATTTTGTTTTCGTTACTGAAAAAAAGGAATAACTTTTCACCGGTAAAAAATTATATTGACCTTTGTATAAGGTCACATTGTGCTACAATCTTCAAGAGTCTTTCAATCTTGCTTGTAATCGACCTCGTCAATTTTCCTTAAAATCAACATTGAGCCACATGCGAATTAATTGAAGTCAATTTGATTATACGAACTAGATTTGATGACGTAAAATTTGTTCAACTCAATGAATTCTACTCACCTCGATGATTTCGATCGATTAGATTTAGTGTGTCCAGGCTCGAATCAAGTGCAAATTATCTTAATTGACATTAATCGGCTCAATTCAATTCCTTTCAAGTCAAATTAACTTCGATGAATGCAAATTTGTTGATTCAATTTAAATCGAAATGCTATATAATTGATTTGGTCTCGTATAACTCCAATAAAATAAGGCGGTCGGTGACTAAGAGGTGGTTCAACGATGGCAAGGCTAAAGTCCGGCAGTGGTCGGCGGCCGGGTGGAAATAGCGGTAGTCGGCTACTAGGTGGTGAATGACAATAAGGCTGAAGTTCGACGACTGTCGGAGGCCGGGTGGAAGTCTGGTAGCAGTCGGCGGCCAGGCGATGGTCTGACAAAGGTCGGGCCAAAGTCTGGCGACAGTCGTCGACCTGGTGGAAGTCCAACGACGGTTGGGCTAAAGCCCAGCTACAATTGGAGGACGAGTAGTGATCTGATGACGGTCAGGCTGAAGTCTGGTAGCAGTTGGGTGGAAGTTCGACTATGATCAACGGCCGAGTGGTGGTCTGACGGCAATCGATGGGGGTTTGCTAGCGATAGTGCTAATGCTCTTGAAGCCTCATAGCTCTCTCTAATCTCTAGCTAAGATCCCCCTCATATAGAGAGTGAGAGTCTATTTATAGATTTTCATTAGTGACACACTGGAGGTAAATATAGAGAATATTCGGGCTAGACGAGTGCTTAATCAGATAGCCTGTATTGATTCCCCTAATCATAGAGTGTTTTTAACTATTTAATTGCCTTAAAAATGTCGGAATTCAAAGATCTTTGGCTCGTTGGATTCGTCTCGTCGAGACACTCAATTTGACTATAAGCATGTCACATTTGGAAATTGTTTGATACTCAAAATTATGGATTGAACCTTCCAAATGCACTTCGAGTCTTTGATTTGGACTCATTTTGGCTTAGATTGTGTCAAATTTGATGTCGTTGGGTTAGTATTTTTTAGGCATTTAGTTCGACTATAAGTTTGTTGAAATCAAAGTTTAGATGGTCTCCAATTTAATTGTTGAAATTTCCAACTTGAATACGCCTCGAGATTTGTGTATGATCAAGACTATTTTTTGTGTCGTATCAAAATGAAAATCTAAAAAATTATTGCTTGATTAATGATTATGGATGTGTTGCTCTTTGACTCAAATTCCTTGCTTTCAAACGTAAACCCCTACTCTTTGAATGTTTTCCAAATTTCTTCTCTTTCAGAAACAGTTTTTTCTACATTCCAGTGAAGGGAATATTAGCAACACAATACAATAATATAATATCATTATATGGCCGCATATGTAGCGGAACATATCTGTATCTAAGTTCTATATATAGCTTTGTATTCAGTGAATAAGATAGCAATAATATTTCTCATTTTCTAATCTTCTTGTTCTCTGCTTTATACTTTCATCTGCTCTACTTCTCGTGCTTTATACTTTCAACCTGTAATCTACCGAACCGACAACCTTCGCCGAAGCTAACAAACACCAGGAATGGAGAAAGGTCATGGCATCTGAATTCTTCGCACTACAATAGCAAGGAACTTGGAGCCTTGTTCCACCGCCTCCCAACGCGTCGGTTCTAGGATGCAGATAGACCTACCGGACTAAATTCCATTCAGATGGCTCGGTTGCACGCTACAAAGCCAGACTTGTGGCACAAGGAAATCATCAAGAGTATGGACTAGACTTTAGTTGCCAAACTCCCTACAATTTGAATCCTCCTTGCAGTAGCTCTACACCACGATTGGCCAGTTCAGCAACTCGACGTTGCCAACGCTTTTCTTCACGGCAAGCTGGACGAGACAATATATATGACCCAACCCAAAGTATTTGAGGATCAAACAAATCCAAACTATGTGTGTCATCTCCACAAAGCCATATACGGTCTCAAACAAGCACCTCGCCAATGGTACAATACTCTCACGTCGTATCTAGTCTCCATCGGCTTCAACCATAGTACTTCAGATCCCTCGCTTCTCACATTGCGGCAGAACAACTCGCAAGCCTACTTCCTTGTCTACGTAGATGACATTCTCATCACAGGAAACAATATTGAGCTGATCAACAATATCATAAATCAGCTAAATCAAAAGTTCAATATGAAACAACTCGGTCCAGTTCACTCTTTCCTGGGCATTCATATTGATCGCACCCCTAATCAATTTTTTCTTTCTCAACAGGCATATGCGGAGTCTATATTACAGGTTGCTCAACTCGGCAATTGCAAACCATTAGCCAATCCTACCTGCACAAAATTGCCATCCAATCTCTCTGAGGATCCGATTCTGAGTAATCCCGCAACTTATAGGAGATTGACCGGGTCCCTCCAATACTTAACGCTCACACGACCCGATATCTCCTACAGTGTCAACCTCTTATCACAACATATGCATCAACCGCTGCATCACCACATTTATCTTCTCAAATGGCTATTACGCTATATCAAAGGTACTCTCAACTATGGTATTCCTATTATAAAATCTAATTTGCAGTTATCTTCATTTTCAGATGCCGATTGGGCTGGAGACCCTACATCCCGGAAATCCACATCTGGATTTTGTTCATTTCTCGGTGATACATTGATAGCCTGGACAGTGAAGAAGCAAACGACAGTAGCTCGGTCATCTACTGAGTCAGAATATCGTGCACTCGCCGCCCTTACAGCTGACGTCGTATGGTTGAGACGAATCCTCACTGACTTCGGTATTCCTCAATCTATGCCTACGGATTTGCACTGGCTAACAACCCAGTGTTCCATGCCCGCACGAAGCATATCGAAATAGACCACCGATTTGTTCGTGACCACATTCAACATCAAACCATTCGTCTTCTTCCCATCAACACAATTGATCAACCGGCTGACATCTTTACAAAAGCTCTCTCCACACCGTGATTTCATCATCTCCGACTCAAACTTAGTGTCACATCTGGACCCAACAGTTTGACGGGGGATATTAGCAACACAATACAATAATATAATATCATTATATGGCCGCATATGTAGCGGAACATATTTGTATCTAAGTTCTATATATAGCTTTGTATTCAGTGAATAAGATAGCAATAATATTTCTCATTTTCTAATCTTCTTGTTCTCTGCTTTATACTTTCATCTGCTCTACTTCTCGTTCTTTGAATCTCTACAGGGAATTCTACCATTAATGTTGATCTGAACAAGAAGAAGAAAGAAGCTGGAATACGATTCAAGCTGATGTCTTAGGGCAAGGTTCTGTGCAGCAGAGGGGTTTCTCATTGATATTCTACAATATCAGCAATAACATTAACTGATCTAATATTACTCTATGGCATCTTATCTAAGGCTGTGTTTGGGGAACTTTTATTACATCCAGTGAACGTACGCTCCTCTACATTCGGTTTAGGCAAAAAAAGCGTCTGTACCGAGTACCGAGTTGTACCTAATTTTTTCAAAAAACTCGGTACAGGTGCTTTTTTGCCTAAACCGAACGTAGAGGAGCGTACGTTCACTGGATAAAATAAAAGTTCGCGCACAGCTTCCTTAATGCTTCTTAAAGCAACTTTCTAACAGAAAATTTTTAATTTTTGTACTAAAAAGTTGTTTTAAAAAACAGTAAGAAAGCCATCCCAAACAAAACCTAAGTCTTCATTCGGGACGACTTTTTTTATTGCTTCTTAAAACAGAGTTTAATACAAAAAATATATAACTTTAATTATTATGAAAATGAGCAAAATTTTATAATAAAAATTTGTAGTTTTTTTTGGTCCATAGGGCTTTAATTAAGCATTTATACGTAGGTGATTTGAAGAAGGTCAATCCGCATGATATTTCTGTTCTTCAATCTATTGTGCGGAGACCGGATGTAAAGTTACATATAGCAGCACATAGTGTATATTTGTACACAATATGTACCCCACAATATAGATATAAAATTACATCCAGATTCCACAGAATAATTTCTCGTGAAATAGACCACATTTCTTGATGTTTTGATCGGGTAGTTGATTGGTTTGTCTACGAGTTGTGATTTGTGTGCTAAAATGATCACAGAAGTTTGAACGCTTTTGATCTGAACATATTTACAGGATCTGCTTTTCTTCTAAATTCTACAAATGCAAATGTCTTTTTAAATTCTACAAATTATATTGATTTCAAAATTTATGAAATCATCATGAGAATAGAACTAGCTCTTGTGAAAATCTTCATTATATTTAGAGCTAATTCAATTTAAAACTAAAAATAAGATCACTAAATAATATAAATTTTAAAAAAAATTAAATTAAATTAAGTCGAAGTGAGCTCAAATTTTTTTTTTAAAAAAATTAAATTAAGTTTCTAAGGGAAATCTCATCCAAGCATGATGACCGACACATCGGGGAAGTTGGATTTTGTCCCAACCATTGATCCACACATATAGCATGAAATACATACCCACAATCTGGCAAAAGCCTCATTGGATTATCCTCCCCTTCCTCATCATCATATTCGCCAAGGTATTCAAAGATGAAGCTGGAATACGATTCAACTAACAACGCGAGCATGACAATTAAGTCGAAGAAAGTTTTGTTAAGTATAAAGAGAATTATAATGAATGGAGGAAACCTATTATCCTTGTTTAATTTTCTCCATTTTGAGCGTGCAGGAAACATAATGATAATGGTAGCATAGCTCGGGTCGGCGTAGCTCATTTATTTATGTATATATATATATATATATATATATATCAGAAAAAAGATTTGATACTCCAAGAAAATAATTTTGATAAAGAAAGATCAACGAGTACATTTAATGATTACGCGGTATTTTTGAGAAGCAATTGCTAGCTTGTTGTGTCAGTAAGCTAACACTCGCCGAACAAATTATTTCTACTGATATAACAATTATGAACATATTAATGGAATGCCTTGGTGATCCAGAGCTCTTTTTAGAGAGATTTTTGCATTTGGCTCTGAAATTTTCCATACAAATGGTTTTAAACAAACTTATCCATCAGCAACAACCCAATCAAACAAGGGCAAAGAATCACAAAGAGAGTCAAATAGTAGTTGTTCAGTTTCAAGCGAAATCTCATCCAAGCATGACGAGCGACACATCAGAGAAGTTGGATGTTGTCGCAACCATTGATCCACACATATAACATGAAATATATACCGCAATCCGACAAAAGCCTCAATGGATTATCCTCCCCTTACTCATCATTGTCATAGTCGTCAAGGCATATTGAGCAGCAGTTGGTTGAGGCCGATTGCGGATCTTGACGGACTTGACGCATGGCTTCTGCATAGTTTGGCCAGATCACGAGTATGACATCATACTATAACAAACCCTCCCCCCAATTCCACACTAGGTCTCCTAAATTGCATCTTGTCTGCACAAGTAAACAAATCTATGGGTCAAATTATGATAAAAGTTGAACAAGAAATTTATGATGGAATGAAGTAAACGTATTGTCCTTGTTTAATTCCTTTCATTTTGAGCATGATGAAAACAAAGTGACAAGGAAGAGGAAGAAGATAATCATGACGATGGCGTAGCTCGTGTTGGCGTAGATCATTTATATAATCTCTTGAGCGCTTGATATCCATCCCTCAAAAAGTAAGGAATGCTGTAATAAAAAAACAATAAAAAATGATAATATGATTAATCTAAAAAGATTTAAATTTATTTTTTACTAAAACTCTATTTTAAGAAACAATAAAAAAATCATACTAAACGGAACCTAATATTAAACAACAAAGGTAAAATATTAGCACAATTCATCTATCGTATTAGCGTTGACAATAAACTTTCTTTTTTAAAACTTGACCAAAAGAGAATAATTAGAATTATTCATTGTCATATAACATTTATAGTAAAAAATATCATATTTATTCATGTAATATATCCTTATTATTGAGGATATTCTATTTATTGCATTTCCATTATTATTTTATTCTTTGGCCTTTATAAAGGCATATTTGTATTAGCACAAAATCATTCCAACAAAAATATAACTTTTTAGAATTTCTAATACCGCAAGAAATAAGGGGTGGCGGTGAGCCCATAGCTATTAACATAGGTTAATTTTTTTTTTTTTTTTTTGGAAAAATTAGGGGCTTAGCCGGATGAATTAAAAAAAACAGTTACAAATTACAATTGCAGAAAAGAAAAAAAAAAAGAAAAAAAAAACCACAAAATGGAAACTGGCGGTGGACCCATAGCTATTGACAAAGGTTCAAATTGTAGAAGCAAAGATATGAATTCTCTGCACAAATCATGACAATTGTAAAGGTACAATCGATTTATTCCAATTATCATTTTCTATTTTTAATGTTTAAATATTAAATAAGGGGAGGTCCCATGCTTTGCCCAAGTGGCCCAATTTAAAAAAAAAATGAAATTCTCTTTATGATTAGGATAAAGAGCTACGGAGAGAGACGGCTTTTAACCACATTGTTTAGGGAATTGTTAGCTGTTAATCACAATTAAAATGAGATATTAGTCTTAAATGGGGAAATAGATTCGAACCAACACGCCACCATAATTAGCGTCAGGCTTTAATCACTCAACTATCATTAGTGTCTATGTGCAGTTAATTAATTAATTAGTTAACAGCCGCTGCTATTTGCCCTTATATCTGTTTTGAAACATAGGCATTAAACCGAATTGACTGGAATATTTCCCAAAATGATTTATTATGGAATTACCTCAAACGTCTGCCCTAAGGGGCAAATTATTAGGTTCGGACACCAGACGTTTTCGGAGCCCAATGAAAATGCGCCACATCACCTCCCACTCGGTACTGAGCAGCACCGAACTCAGTACTGCTCGGTACAGTACCGAGCTCGGTACTGTGAAGTACCAGAACGTAAGCTGTCTCCGGTGTCCACACCCAATAATCTCTCGCCCTAAGGTAGTGTATTTGGTCTCCCAGGCCCGATGGGTGTTTTCGTCTTCTCTCTGTCTCGAAACCGAAGGTTTTCTCGAGCTCTACGTCCCGTTCAAACAGTTGCCGGCCCGCTCGTCGTGCTGGACTGCTGGTGTCCTGAACTCTTAAGTTTTTCTGATCGTGCTCGTGCATCTCTGTGCCCTAAGATACTTAATCCAGAAATTTCAGATCAGTTTGCTCATCCTTAACAATAAAATATATTAGTTCATCCTCTTGCTAGCTATTTCACTGGAGCTAAAACGATTATAATGCGTCACTACTCAGTTTTTTTACCGTAAATTTGTCGAAGCTCACATTTTGTTAATTTTCTGTTTTTTTTTTTAATTTTCTGTAAAACTACTAGAATACTCTTCTTAGGGTTTTAATTTGAGAAGCCAACAGGTAAAAATGGTTTGCAGTTCTTGCAAACAAACATAATGGCATAAGCTAGAATAATTATAACAATAAAAAAGAAACAACAATAAATATTATTTCCTTTGAGGAATGAAAAAGCTGAAAACTCACCTCCCGTCCAAAGAAGAAACCCTGGATTCGTTTGATTTGTTGGGAGAGCGAGTAGCAGCGGGCTGCCGAAATCAGCAAAAAGTGTCTGAAATCAGTAAAAATGTGTGCAAGTCATTAAAAAAAAAGGAGAATTAAACATTTAAACGGAGAGAAAGCAGGAAAAACCGAGAGTTAGAAAAATGTTAGCTTACCTGCCGACTGTCGCCGACCCGTCGCAATCCGCCGTGAGCCGCTGAAGTTGAACTGGAGGCTTTCGGCGTTCCAACGAGATTAGAAGAGAGGTTTTCGTCTGAACTGCTGAATCCTTGCGCGTCAAACACTTCCGATTTCCGCCCTTCGCCCCTTTGGCCTCCGCGAGTCCGCGACCTTAGCTAAACAGGAAAGCAGCAGCTTAGGGCATCTTCAACTGAGAACTCTATTTTTCACGTCAAAATATCGCAAAAAGCAAAAATAGCGTGATACTACTCTAATCCAACGCCATTTTTTTGCTTTTGCGCCAAGGTAACGGCCCTTCTCCTTTCCCGCATTTTTCCGATTGACAGAGAAAAATGGCGTGGGTGAACAGTGCAACGCCAATATTGACGATGCACTGTTCACCCGCAAGCAAATGGAGGATTTTTTGGCATTCGACTGGAGCGAAGGAATGACGCCAAACGCTCGTTTGGCGTTCGGTCGGAGATGCCCTTAGAGAAGAAGGGGTATTAGGTGAATAGTCATTTTCTTATTCCATAGCTGATAGCAGTACGTGTTTATAGAGTTGGCCGAACTTTAGAAGGAAGAAAGCTATTTGCTAAAATTAGTTTAAGAAGTGCTTTTAAAAAAAAAATTACAATTAGCAAGTAGTTTTTTTATAAATAATTATTTAACAAATTAAATTGCTAATGTTAAAAATAATATCTATATAATATTATATGTAAAAAACTATCTCACTCATCTCTTTCATCTTCTCTCTTATTCTTCCAATCCGGTGGCCCTCTCTCAGAATATGCCAAATGATTTAACTATTTTGCTCATTTTTTTTATTTAAATGTGCTCCTTAAACTAATTTTAGCAAATAGCTTTCTTCCTTCTAAAATTTGGTCATCCGTATTTATATAGTTGGCCGAATTTTTAAAAGAAAAAGGTTAAAATCTTACTAAGTAAAAGAAGCTTAGTTCATGAAGAGAGAGAGGGAGAAAGTAATTAAATTTCATAACTTTATTAAATTAAATTAAGTTATCATCTTCCAAACTGAGGCGGCGGCAATTCGAAGAAGTGATCCAGTGATTGTGACTTGTAAAAAATGATTGAGCAAGCTAACCCATGACATATATGAAAATTTTTTTGCAAACCGCTCCTCTTGCTCCAGCTCTCCCCACCCTTCACTCCTTCAGGCATCAACGATGCTCAAGTCCAAGAGCTGCTAATCTGCTTCTTTCACAAGATGATCAATCTTATATCCCTTGAGATAGATGATCAATTTTATATCCATACATAGAGCGGTGGCATGTGTATGTGTCTATTCCTCTTCTTCTGACCCTTCGATTCTTGCATGCATTCCATCTGGTTGAGGGTGAGAGGGCAAGAGCGCGGTCGGCTATTGCATGTTCTCCATTTGGTCAAGTGTGAGAGGTATGGATGGCAACAATCTTTGCTAGATTGACCTCTATAAGCATGCAGCATCCTCCTCTCTTGGTTCCTTCGAATCTCTCGAAAGCTCTCCTCCCTCTATCGACCACATCTCAAGTTTAGGAAAATCATAGAACTTATAGCTCCTTACGATAGTGTAGAAGTCACCTCTAGGATTTCTCTTAAGTGGATGTCGGATGACAATGTTGACTCAACCTCGATCGCATTGATTTGATCTAAATTGAATAGGTTTACACCAAATTGAATTTAATTTATTCAACTTCAAGTCAATGAAGGCTAATTCAATCTAAATCATTTTAAATCATATTTCAAGTCAATGAAGGCTAATTCAATCTCAATCATTTTAAATCGTGTTATGTCGAGTCAATTCAGCTCAATGACCATTGGCTCGACTCGACTTGTGTTCAATTCGACCTCGACGATTTTGATCGGCATAAATTAATACACTTTGAATTAATTAAAATTACATCAACACCAATTAAACCAACTCGAACCCAATCCGAAGCCATCAACTTCGATTGATGCTGGCCAGCTCGTTTGAGTTAATTTGAATCAAATTAGTGTTAATTAAATTAAATGGGCTTAATTTAAATCAAAACTATTTAAATAAAAATTAAGTTTGACACTAATTGAACTTGATCAAATTCATACTCAATTTTAAAATTAAAATAACCTCAATCGGCTTCCATTTATTTAATCAAGTGAGTTTTAAATTAAAATAAAATCAATGTGGTCCAAATTATGTTAAATCGGATTATACCGAGCCGATTTAGTTAGATATTGTCAATCAAAGGAACAAAATATCATTCTGAAAGATGAACACAATGTTCTACGAAAATATTTGAAAAGAGAAATGAGATTTTGAAGTTTTATCGTTCTTGCAATCAAATGCAACAATGAGAATAGTATATCATCTTGGGAGATGAACATAATATTCTGCAAAAGATATGAAAGAAAGCATGGATTTCAAAAATTGCGTCATTTTTACAATCAAATACGACAAAGAGAATATAATATCATCTTGAAAGATGATAACGACATTCTACAAAGATATTTGAAAATAGAAATTAATTTTGGAAAGACTTTCTATGTTTCGAAATATCTTTCTCATATCCTACGAGAGTAAAATAGGATTATTTTATCTGGAGTTATAGGTTCTCCAAAAGAACAAGCCCTTATGATTAATTACATCCCAAGAAAAGTTAATCTCCTGAGAACACTCTCGATTAAAATAGTGAAGAATATTTTTAGAATTTCAAAGTTTAAGGCAAAGATCAGAGGATTTTAGAATATTAAAAATGGATAGGATCAAAGTCGAGTAATTATTTATGGAATTGAAGGAGTAAGAGTAAAGAGGATTAGAATTCTGAGACAAATTAAAAGTGCTCCAATCTATCCTATAGTTGGGCTTTAATATTTTTGAACGATATTTATTTTGTTCAAGTTGAAATTTTATTAAAAAATTGAACTAATATTCTTGATCACCGCATCAGGAGAATGCCCAAAAGATGAGTGGTTATGATATAGGACTCAAATTCAGATCTGAGGTGAATGACTATAGGTAGCAATTCAAACCTAATCTAACAAAATGCAAAGGGGCTAGAAGGCCCAACTCCTCTAGACTTATAATCCTTCCTCGATAGGACTGCCAACTAAGCGCCACCAAGTGCATTGAAATTATATCTGGTCATATGAGTTGCAAGAGAAGATGGCTTGTTGTTTTAAGAAGAAGATTGGGATTGACATCTAAGAAATCCTAGTGACCCCGGATTATGAGTGGTGGATCATGCTTCTAAAACTAAATGCAGTTAATGTTTTATTTATAGTGGTTTGTTAATGTGGTGGAGATTTTATCATTTATATCTTCTTACTTATCTTTCTATGTTTTTAAAGGGGCTTTGTTTTGTTTAGAATAGAAAACTTTTTCCCTAAACACTAGTGAGCATGGCTTTTAAAACCGGACCGGACCGGCCGGTTCAACCGGTTGAACCGCGAACCGGCCGGCCGGCCGGTTACGGTTCAAATGAAAACCTGCTTTCCAGAAAACTAGGATAAACCCGTTCGAACCGGCGGTTCCACCGCCAAACAGCCGAACCAGTCCCGGTTTTTTATAACCGGCCGAAAAGCTTATACGCGGAGAGGAAAAAAAACGCGTCGACGTCTGCTCGACTCTTCGGCTTCGAGCTTCAACGGAGGAAAAAAAAAAACTCATTTGAAGCCTTCGACCACTTCTTCCCCGACGGCGTGCAAAGCTAACAGCGTCGATGCCATGGCTACACCAATCCGTCTGTTACTGCAAGGGAGGCAGTAGAACCCTAGACCGATTCCAGCCTCTGTAGAAGAAATCAATGGGAAAGCAGTGGCCTTTAAGTGTGCTCGGTTGCGGATTAAGTTAAAATGGCGCGAAACAGCTTTCGAGTTGGTGCTGAACGGAATGATTAGGTTTTATGAGGAAGAGGGAATGTGAATGTGAGCCTCGTGAGCTGAATGATGCCCATTGCACTTAACTGATCTATTATTTTTATCTTTTTCCCTTCGATCTCTGTGTTTTTCGGTTATTTACTTATTTTTCATCTCTCTTTTCTTCTACTATTTATATGGCCATATGGGGGAATGAGAAAGGTATCTGAAGGTGGATGAAGCCCGGCCGAGAGTTCTACTTGTTTGAGAATTTTTGCAGTAAGTTGAAAAAGAAAGCTTTGCTTGCAGTTTTCTACCATGTAGTTTTCTATCTGACATAGTTTTCTACCTTGCATTTTTTATGTTGTAGTTTTTTTACCTTGGGTTTTAATTTGTGTATATGATTTTATTATAATATTTAAATATAATAAATATTTATTACGTCATCCGGTTCAACCCCGGTTCGACCTCGGTCGAACCATCAAACCGCTAACATCTCCTTCTTCCGATTCATTGACCGGTCCAGATTTCAAAGCCGAGCTAGTGAGAACTAATCTCCAGGCAAGCTGCAAGTGTCTATCGTACACCAGTTTATGTTTTCCTTTTATGTAAAATCAGAGAAGTTTTAGTGTATAAAACGCAAAGTTTTAAATGTCGGTCAAAGTTCTAGTGAAAATTATTTTATTTCCTAACTAAGCGTTTCAATTTTCAGTTCTAGTCAAAGTTGTAATTAAATGGGTTTTATTTTTATTTTGGATTTGAGTTTGCAATTAATGAATTAAAATTTATAATGAAAAGAAAATGATAAATGATATAGAGCATGAATAGTTAAAGATAATACAAACAAACAATATATAAAGAGATATATAAAAAGAACTAAAGAACTTAATCCCTTAACCTGGAGTATAAGGTTACTAGGTTAACATCTAATGTATGTTGGATTTTTAGGTAGATAGATGTTTGAAAGTTACAAACTACCCTACCTGGTAGGTATGACGTCCCCGGTCAAGATCCCATGGTTGTCCATCGCCCCGGGTTCGTCAATGTACATAATCTACTGGTCGAATGTCGACCTAAGGATCCTTGTCAGTAAACATGGGTTACCTCATCCAAGGGGACCTCATAGGCTTAGAGAACCTAACCCTAGGCTGACAATTAGAAGGTGCACAGGCTATGGATGTTGAACATATGTCTATGTTATATAGCCTAGGGTGTCGACCTTATGCTATATGCATTGTTCATGAAGAATGAAGGCTAGTACAAACCTGGTGCCTAAGGCTTCTATCAACACTCCGCATCACCTATCGGGGTCACAAGTGCAGTGGATTTGTATTCCGAGTCATTATAATCTATGAACGAAGATATAG